GGGAAAAAAGGGGCGAGCTGTCATAAAAGGGCCTTGGGGCAGGACTTCATGGGACAAGCCTTTTACCAGCCTATCACATACATTCTCCTTAGGAAAGGGAGGAAGAACTTCCTGGGATGGAATGCCACAGAACATTCTTTGTGTGGTGGGGTTAGGGAGGATGTTAAGCAGCCATTACCTCCCTCCCAGAGGTGGCAGTATTCCTATGGTGTGGAGACTGTAACTGTATCCTGAAGCAAAGTGGTCATTCCCCTTCTCAATGATTCACCCAAAAGCCTTCCCACCCGGGTGCTCTCTGAAAGCTCAGCCTTAAGGGAACACCCAAAGAGCTTCCCTAGATAGTCTCCTGCCTCTAGGCGCTAGGACACACCTTTCCTAAGTGTTGTGGGAAGCCGACTTGGGGAGTTGTGTTAAGTCAATGTAGAAACCACTCCACTGTTTGCTGTCATGTAGGGAGTAGGACATAGAGAAAAAAGGCCAACCTGCCTGTAGTGAGTAGAGAAGAATGGATGTGATTCTTCTTGTGTATTTATTTGTATCATAAACACTTGGAACAACAAAGACCATAACCACCATTTAGCAGTTGTAGCCATTTTCTAGTTAACTCATGTAAACAAGTAAGAGTAACATAACAGTATTACCTTTCCACTTTTCTCACAAGACATGTACCTAAATATGGTACTTATTTATGTAGGCACTGTATTTCTGGATTCTTAAATTAATAAAAAGTTAATTTTGAGAAATTATCCACAATTTTGTGATGTGAGTGATTGACTCTCTGGTCTATAATGACCTTGGACCGGGTGAGAGTTGATGAGTGGACCTGGTGATTTCACACTTAGCTTGACATCCCTCTTACTCTACAGCATAATAGTTTAAAATATGAACTTTGTTGTTAAACTATCTGGATTTTTAAGTGCAGCTCTGCACTTGTCAGCTATGTTTCTCAGTCTCCCCCCTTTAAGACAGGATAATATCAGTACTGTCAATATTTCTCTTTGCCTGCAGTCTTGCAGTGAGTTTTAATTTAGTCGATGCATGTAAAGTGATTAGAAAAGTGTCGAGTACATAGTGAGCATTCATTTATGACATTGAGTGTTCAGGAATGGCATAGCACTAAAATTGACTATTGAGTTTTAGCTTCCCTTTAAGCCAGAACACTTAAGAGACTGGGTACAGATGACTATTGACTTAGGGGGTCTCAATTTTGATCTCCTGCTCACAATCTTTTATACAAAAATTTATATAGGGAGCAGAGTAAGAGTTTCATCACACATGTCAATCCAAACTAAATTCACTCAAATTCCCAATATCAACCAAATTTATGCTATCGTAGAAGCCAAAATATGAGAATGCTTCAAGAGAGTAGTCAAATGTGTCAAGTTGAAATATCAAGTATTGTACAGAAAATGATGCTTTGGTGTTAGCAACAGAGAGGAAAAATGTTAGAATGATTGGGGTGAATTGTAAGGAGTGGAAAGACAAGGAATTAGAGACAACATCTAAAGAACTCTTTGGAGAAGCTCTACTGCAGGGTGTAGACAGATGCAGTGAATGAAGTAGCTGAAAAAGCATATGACGAGAGAGGAAAGTCATATTGCCTTAAATATGGGCACTATTTGGCCATACCTGAATACTGGAGAAAGGATCATACAGAAAGGACAAAATTAAAGATTATGAGGAAAGGAGGGTTAACCTGTTATGTGAAGTACATGAGAAATCATGCCTCTATACTGCACCCCTGGAACTCCTAATTCTTGACCAATAAGCTGGACAGAATCTTGGCCTTTGGTTGTCAACCCCATATGTTGAATTACACCTAGTTTCTTCATCACTATTAGCTTGGTCCCCTTTTATACTCAGTCTACTTTCTCCTATAAATCCTAATGTTGTTCCACTTCTATTGAGGAAACCGAAAACTTACATCAGACACCCTGGTTCCATATTAGACTCTTCCCTTTCCCACACCCGCCACATCCAGATTTCATCCAGTCCTGTCAATTTAGTTTCCTAAATGAAGACCATGTTTTTAGGCTTTTGCTTTCATGTCCTCTTGCAGTCTCTTTTCCTCTCTATAGTCTGCACCCACATGCCTCCACCATGATTTTTAGGAAACACCAAAGGTCATCTCATATAAGTTCAAGAAAAGGTCCTGCCTACTACCACACATTACCTATCTTGTTATTCCTTTCTTACTTTGACCTAAAGGGGATTAGAATATAGCACCCCCAAAAATATGCCACATGAACATAAGGATTATTTTGAGCTAAATCTATAGTCTGCACCCACATGCCTCCACCATGATTTTTAGGAAACACCAAAGGTCATCTCATATAAGTTCAAG